GTCGGCTCAGTGGTCCAGTAGGTTAAGCGTTCGCGCGCGAGACTGAAGGCCATAGGTTCGAGCCCTGCGAGCTAGTGACCATATGTTATGGATATTATAGTAATTTCAATAGTTGAGATGATGATTCCATTAAAGTTAGACCACCATGAGACGGTATCGTGGATGCACACTGCTGAGGAATCACACATTAGGACGAAATGAACGTTCAGTCCTTCCAGATTTTCTATGGTAGTGGTTTAGCTTCAATTAACTCATAATCTCAATTATTGAAATTATTATAATATCCATAAAAACCACCTTCTGATATGAAGTAACGTTACAACTAATGACGATCAATAGTAGTTTTGTAAAGAGTTCTGTACATTGGGTGTGGCAGATTTATACATGTCTTTTTAGAAATTCTATAATCTTATATATATATATATTGTTCCAATCCGTTAATGGACATTGATAGTTGTTTGATATATCTATGGTTAGAGTTATTGATTTGATGATCGTTATAATTTTCATTTTAATCGATGTAAAGTATCATTCTTTTAACATTTTAAAGGTAGTATTCATTAGAAGTGTTGATTTTGACCAGGATTGATTCATCTATCCAATTAGTTGACTGATTCGGTTCGAAGATTTATTTAATAAACTATCAATATATCAAGAAGCAACTGATTTAAACTAGCTAGTGATTTCAGGTGAAGTTGAGTACAGCGTTCACACTCGTGATCTGGCGCAGATGTATGATTGAGAACCTTCAGTTAGGTGAGTCGATTAAAACTAATCTAGTCAGCATCCAATGTCGAAGACTTACACGACTGTTGATTTTGGGTATTTATTTACCGCTACAGGATATTTGGTCTTTTGTGTGCAGTATACTACAGGTTTAGTCTGTTCTGTATCACATAGAAAGTTAAGTTAATTAGGGAATTTTGGTATGTAGTTCAACAGTTTTCTAATATGTTAAGCACTGAATACTCTTCGTGTTCAGTTGCTCTAAGCTTATGTAGTAGAATTCTCACCTTTGAAGAGTTAACTTGTAAAATGTCTTCATACCTCTTGAACCATGATTCAAAATGTAACATCAGCATCAGGAACAAAATGAAACTGTCTCATTAAGTTGATTAGTGATTCGACAGTTAAGTTCCTTAATTCGAACACCTATAATGAATTTTGTGTTGTCATCTCTATAGTTTTCCATTGTGATGCTGTAGTTGTTGTTGTTGGTGCTGCAAAATAGATTGAAGTTGATCTACTGAAACTGATTGACATTCTGGAATTTTGTTTATTTTCGTATATGTTTAACAAAAATACCATCGTCAGAAACTGTTGTGATGTGCTATGTCTAAAATTTGATGTGATACTGATAGACGATATGCTATGCACTAGCACCCTCCCAAATGATTGACCACTCGGTGTTGACCAATATCATACGTGTCTAGTTCTTATTAGTGCAGATCGAATGCTATCGACCAAGTTGTAATGTGGCCACCAGTCTAGGTGACTCGACACTGCCGGCACTATTGTGAGATTAGATGGTGGTTGAAGGTAGTCGATAGGAAACCCTCCCTTCCCCTAACCGAATACTTGGACAAGAAAGTCTATTGGACTACCGAATAAAATGCACAAATACTCTTCCATATATATATATATATATATATATATATATATATATATATATATATATATATTCCAGTCTATCCTCGGGACATTGACCCATTTTGACCCCCAACGAAATGCACTTGAACTTTATGTAACTTGTGATTGTTATCGATTGACCTTTTGAATAGTCTACTTCTGATTGGTACTCCATATCAGTTTTTTCCGGTGTTTATAACTAGCTCTTTACTTGTATCTTGGGCATACCTTTTCATATGTTCAATTGTAGTTTTCTTATATTTCTTATCTAGGTATTTTCTAATGCTGAAATAGGTCATTAGGATGAGTCTATCATTCAACTGCATTAGCCTGTTACAGTTTTTACAAGAGGTATTTCTTGAAGTTCTAGTGAGAAGTAGTGATCAATGGAGTGCAACCGTGTCTATTGTACGATAGTAGCTCGCTAAAGAAAATGGTGGATAGTGGCGCAATTTCGTGGATTGGTTGAAGTTAGACATTAACACTATTGGATGCCGGCTTAGTGATCTAGAGGTTACACTGTTCGCGTGCGAGACCGAAGGCTCTGGATTCATGGGTGTACATTGTATAGGAGTCCCGCCCAGTTCTCCCAGGTTTTCAATGGTGGTCTAGCTTTAATATACTTTTTTGTAAATACAAAAAGTAAGATGATTTTTAGGCTTAATTGATGATAAATAAAGATGATAAATAGTCTGTTTTTGGAATAACTTATCTTGCTGTGAAAATAATTGGTAAATGCGGCCTCATGGGTTTGTACTACTGATGTCGACAGATATAAGTAGTATGCATTATCATCAATTAAAAGTGAAATGTCTTGAGACAGAAGGTTGAGTAGATCAAAGTAAAGAGAACAATGGGTGTAGAAACGAAAGAACAATGAAGTTTGAAACGATTGATTAACATTTTGCAAATGAAGTCATCAATGTATGATTCTCAGATTTTCCTAAGATGTTCTGCGAATTATGTTACATGGATCAATTAAACATTTTCCTAGTAGATAGATGACAACTAGTGACTATTCTCCTACAATAACATCTAACACTTAGGAACGTAACCGAATTATTCTCCATTTATGAATATTTGTTTCGATGACCAATAGTATACAATGTGAAAACTACCTTCTATAATGGAGAAAAACGATTTTCACAGTTGAATGCCGGTTCAGTGGTCTAGAGGATAAGCGTTCGCGCTCAAAACTGAAGGCCCTGCGTTCGAATTCCGTAAGGAGAATTGTGAATACACACACCTGAGGTGTCCTACAATAGAATGAATTGACCGTACAGTGCTTTTAGGTTTTTAATGGTGGTCTAACATTAATCAGTTCATGATTTCAATCAAACACTCAACAATCTCCACAACCTTATAGTGATAAGAAATAAATATCGGATATTATTCATGTTACAAATCCTGATAAGAACGGTTCGTTTATTTATCTACTTAAACACATAAACATTGGTACAAGGAGGTACCATATAGAGATATGTGCCACATAAATCATTCGATTTATATGAGAACTGGGATAGTGCCCGGGTGCCCGAACCGTAACAGGTGGTTTCCTTAGGTAACCACACTTGGAGCCTTTAACCGAAAGGTCTAATCCACAAGGCAGTGGAGCAACATCAGGAGATGTAGTACCATGGTAGCCGGTCACCAGCAACTGGTTCATACACCAATTGTTCCTACAGGATCCTGGAGCATTACTGGTTTGGAATCACGGTTTTCCAACTTCTCTAGGTGGATGCTCTATGTCCACCATTCTGAGTAAAGCGCTATACATTCACTTTTCGTCCTCTCAATTTTGTAAACGACAGTAATTCCTTGAGAATGCAGTGAGTAGGACTTCACTGGCAGTGCTTTTATACACGTGGCCATGTGAAGGCATTTGGCGTGTGTGTGTGTGGGGGGGGGTAGCTGATTTTCCCCACTCTCTACCATACCAGAGCATTTGGGGCCTATTGGATTAACAACAGAATTGGACAAATAATGGGGTGTGAAATGGACAACTTAATGGAAGATATGCAAATGATGTATTTAATGTATCGTAATCATATTTTACAAATGCACTGTTTAATTTTATATAAAACAATCAATTGGTTTTTACTACCAAGACTTCATTCATTACGACACTACCGAATTGAATCTTATAAAAGCATATAATAACTCGAGAAATGGAGACAGATATGAGAAGAATGAACAACAATTGGATAGAACTAGAAAGGAAGGTTCAGAACAGAATGGTTTGGAGAGCGTTGATAGGTTGCCAATGTTCTTTTGGAAGTAACAGGTGTAAGTAAATAAGTTTAGTTTAGTTTAGGATATTTTACGAAATGAACAATCAGATAACCTTTTCATCACACATCAAACCCAATAATTTCAGATCTAGCATCTTGTCAAGAGTATAATCTATTAACTTAGTATAAAGAGATTCTAATGAATCCCTGTAATAGAATACTTGCGCTGACCTTATATAGAAAGGAACGAAAAGTGTAACGAATAAACTATCTATCAGTATAGGGGTTGTGGAGATTGTTAAGTTTTGATTGAGATCATGAACTGATTGATGTCAGATCACCATTGAAAACTTGGAAGCACTGAACAGGCGTTTCATCCTATTGTGGGACTCCTCAACAGTGCCCATCCATGATCCCGCTAGCAGGATTCAAACCCAGGGCCTTCAGTCTTGCGCGTGAACGATTAACCTACTGGATCACTGAGCCGGAACCCAATGGTGTTAATGCCTAACCACGATGTTGTGCAACCATCTTCCATTGTATTGAAATAGACACCTGTTTCTATCCGACACGGATTAACTCCACTGGTCACGGTTTTTCACCAGAACTCCGAGAATTTTCTCGTGAATACATAATTCTGAAGAGTCCTACAATAGAATGAAATGACCGTCCAGTACTTCTAGGTTTTCAATGATGATCTGACATGAATCAGTTCATCATCTCAATCAGAATAAACTATCTATATCTAAAAGTGAATTCTAATTTAAAGTGGCAGGGTTATGTATATTTTATATTTAATTTACTTATACTTTCAAACTATTTCTATCCAATAACATCAGGCTAATCTTCCAACTCAAAGTACCTTGTTTATCATATCAACGTTCTTTCATGAAATTACATTAATGAATATCATTGCTCATTTATTAGATAGTACACACCTCTATTTATATACATATGTGCTATACATTAAGTAGTATGTCGTTTACACACACACACACATACACACACATGTATACATATATATCGACTATACTATGTGTTTTCTAACAGCTCATCCCTCTATTGGTTAATTAATCAAAAACACATTCATTTGAGCACAATTGTATTAGCTATATAAGTAAGTGATTATATACCATTATTGACTTTTATTAAATATCAGGTGATCAATGGTATTTTATAGTTATTTAATGAATAAATATGATTATCTATACCTATTACTCCTTTGATTAACTTTTGTTTCCATTTAATTTGAATTAAATTATAGTTACTAACATGTATGTAATTATGTGTAATTGTTAAAACTTTATATGACTGTCCATATTGAAATTATTCAAGAAACAAGGATCTGGTTAATTTAAAACAAACATTCACATTGAAATTATTCAAGAAAGATAAAGGATCTCATGAATTTAAAACATACATCCACATTGAAATTATTCAAGAAACAAGGATCTAGTTGATTTAAAATAAACATCCACATTGAATTCATTCAAGAAAGATAAAGGATCTGATTAAGTTAAAATAAACATCCACACTGAATTCATTCAAGAAAGATAAAGGATCTGGTTGAGTAAAAATAAACATCCACATTGAAATCATTCAGTGAAATAAAGGATCTGGTTGAGTAAAAATAAACATTCACATTGAATTCATTCAAGAAAGATAAAGGATCTGATTAAGTTAAAATAAACATCCACATTGAAATCATTCAGTGAAATAAAGGATCTGGTTGAGTAAAAATAAACATTCACATTGAATTCATTCAAGAAAAATAAAGGATCTGGTTGAGTAAAAATAAACATCCACATTGAAATCATTCAGTGAAATAAAGGATCTGGTTGAGTAAAAATAAACATTCACATTGAATTCATTCAAGAAAAATAAAGGATCTGGTTGAGTAAAAATAAACATCCACATTGAATTTATTCAAGAAAAATAAAGGATCTGGTTAATTTAAAACAAATATCCACATTGAAATCATTTAAGAAAGGACCTGGTTGAAATAAAACAAACATCCACATTGAAATCATTCAAGAAAAACATCGGGTTAAGTTAAAACAAACATCCACATTGAAATCATTCAAGAAAAATAAAGGATCTGGTTAATTTAAAACTAATATCCATATAGAAATCATTCAGTGAAATAAAGGATCTGGTCAAGTTCAAATAAACATTCACATTGAAATCATTCAAGAAACGAGGATCTGATTAATTTAAAGCAAATATTCAAATTGAAATTATTCAAGAAAAGATCTGGTTAAGTTAAAGTAAACATCTACATTGAAATCATTCTAGAAAGGACCTGGTTGAATTAAAACAAACATTCACATTGAAATCATTCAAGAAAAATAAAGGATCTGGTTAATTTAAAACTAATATCCATATAGAAATCATTCAGTGAAATAAAGGATCTGGTTAAGTTCAAATAAACATTCACATTGAAATCATTCAAGAAACGAGGATCTGATTAATTTAAAGCAAATATTCAAATTGAAATTATTCAAGAAAAGATCTGGTTAAGTTAAAGTAAACATCTACATTGAAATCATTCTAGAAAGGACCTGGTTGAATTAAAACAAACATTCACATTGAAATCATTCAAGAAAAATAAAGGATCTGGTTAATTTAAACCAAATATCCACATTGAAATCATTCAGTAAAATAAAAGATCTGGTTAAGTTCAAATAAACATCCACATTGAAATCATTCAAGAAACGAGGATTTGTTTGAGTAAAAATAAACATCCACATTGAAATCATTCAAGAAAAATAAAGGATCTGGTCAAGTTAAAACAAACAAACATACACACACACACACATACAACCTAATCTTATCATCATAAAAACTGTTACATTAATATTTAAAACAAAATATAATATAGGGATTTTCAAAAAAAAAACAAAAAAAACAGCGGGAATTCAAACAACAGAACAAAATAGGAATAGTATTTTTTTCTTCATACAAAGTAATTGATAAAATATTCATTCAGAAGGTGGAAATATGTCAAGTTGGCAACGTCTTTCTGGATATTTAAATTCAAAACCAACTGGACGTAAGTTTAAATTCATTTGATATTGTTTTTATGTGTATCTTCTAAATTGTTATTTAAAACTGTAATTGATCAGTTTCATTCAACTGACGAGTTCTAAATAGGACGAAACACACATTAAACTAAATTTCACTGTTAGTCATTATTTATCTTTGTTTAAAAAAGGTATCATTCATGTTGTTTATTAGTTGTCTATATTCTTTTGTAATAAACGAGAATACAAATAGACACAATCGAATATATTTGAGCATACAACATGACAGAAGAACTTAGTAAAATTTAAGAATCATACAATGAAGATTTCACTGTTCTCTCAATTTCATACTAATCATTCATTGTTATTGTTGTTTATTCTCTTTTCTTTAATCTTTTTAACCTTCTGCTATCAGATAAATCACTTTTGATTGATGATAATACATACTACTTATATCTGTCTAAATCAATAGTATACACTACAGTTTTGTCTAATTTGAATGAAAATAATGAATATGTGCAATTTTAAGATTTTATCGTCAATTATCTTGTTAGTTATAAAATAGTGAATTAAATCTACCCTGACATGTTAACTAATGCTTCTTTTGTCATGATAATATCAAGACTATAATTTATGGATGAACCAATCAGAGATAAGATGATAGGTCTTGGATTTTGGCGCGAAATTCATCCATCTATTTGTTTAAATAACGTTTTGATATTTGAGTTGATATCAATTCGTGATAATAAAACTCTAAATCTAATCCTTATCCCTAACCATCAGTTGTAAATCATAGTTCTAATTCATCACACACACTGGTTTATAACCTTCATTAAACCCTACTTAGTAAGTGTACATTCTAAAGGTCCCTTTAGCGTCTCATCTCTTCAGTTTACCATTCATAATCAATTTGACTACAAAGATTAAATATATAAAATTCCAATAGTGATTTAGTTAAACATTCTTTACTATACTTTAATAGCTGAATTAATGAGTCAATTAAAGCTAGATATGGGTCTGTTGCAAGATAGTAACTCACTGAAGACAATGGTGGATGCTGGCGTAATTTCAGGAATTGGTTGAAGTTAGACATGAACACCATTAGATGTCAACTCAGTGGTCTAGAGGATAAACTTTCGTGCACTAGACCGATAGATCCTGGATTTGAGATCTGCGGGCGAGATCATGGATTTGCACTGCTGAGGCGTTCCATACAGAGACGAAACAGTCTTAAAGTACTTCTAGATATTTCATGGTGGTCTAACTTTAATTGCCTCATGAATTCAACTATTAAATTACTATAATATCTACAAAATCTCTTTCTGTTTACTTGTTTAACGTATTACCATATAGTAAAATAATTCGTCAACAAACGAAATAACATACGCTACAAGACATATGAATTCTAATTTAGGAATAACGACTAATTAGTTTAGACAATAAGATTTCAATTAATGGGTTGTACCTTCCAAATAATATCTAACAATTTCTGTTCAGATGTAGTCATATAATGGATTGTTAGTTAAAAAGATGTAAACAAGTCAAATTAACAGAACATATACTGCTGAAGAGTTCCACAATAGGACGAAACGTCTGTTCAGTGCTTCCAGGTTTTCAATAGTGATCTATCTTGATTTTATGTTTATTGGAAATGATCATTCACTCAAATTAGTAACCAAATTGTGACTGGAACGACAGAACACAGATAACACTCAGTGTAGATTTTTGAAACTTAGATTAAGTCATATTATCCAGTAAAACAAAACCTGTCATCTATTAACATATACATTCATTAAGTGTTTATATTGATCTCATTATAACTATTCACTAATACTACACTATACTATACTAATACACTTATTGAATTGATGTGAATCACTTCCAGTGATCCCAGGTTTTCAATAGTTGGTCTAACATCAATCGGTTCATGATCTCAATCAATAACTTGATAATCTTCTCAACCTTATACTATAAATTGCTTTAGCTAATTGTTGATGACATTTGATGGATTGATTGGAATAGATATTTGGAAATTAAACCTCTGATATCATCTAGGAGACAGTCTTACTTACTTACTTACTTACTTACTTACGCCTGTTACTCCTAATGGACGATAGGCCGCCGGCCAGCATTCTTCAACACACTCTGTCGTGATCCTTTCTTTTTAGTTCAATGTAATGTTTGTTCATCCATCTCATGTCTCTCTCCATTTCTCGGAGCAATATGTTCTCTAGTCTTTCTCTTTTCGTTTGACCTGGAGGAGGTTTTTCTTTGTGACTCATTTGGGTGATTTTTTCAATGTGTGCTGTCCACTGTAGTCCATACTGCCCCCAGATGTTGACGTTTTCATAATCCAGTCGGTCACCAGGAGAATGAGAAAGGGTTAGAGTAAATAACCTTACCTGACATCGGGGATAGTAGTTTTGTCTTTATTTGAAACTGACAAACAATATGCATTCATAAACGTACCAGCGATGGAACTCAGGACCCCTTGCTGGTTTCGTCTCAAACATTATAGACGTTTAAAATACTGAATCGGAAACTGCTGATTCAAGTCTCAAATGATTTATCATATAGCGTAATCATCAGTCACTGTAAGAGACAATATCCCGTTTCAGTTGAATTCAAGTAGCTCTATGATTGTTAATACTAAAGATTCTAAACTACACCAGTAGTACGGTCGGTTAACATTTCAAATTTGTTGGGTAAAAAAAGTAAATCACCCCGGTTAATCAAGTTTGAAATTTGATGATTTATGCAGTTTACAAGATCACATATTAGATCTTAAGGGCTGTTATCTTTGCTTCAAATACATTTACATTTAACTATTCAGTCTATGTAGTGTAGTAGTTCATGAAGCTGATTGAAAACTATAATATTTTTGAGTTCAAAACATCATGGATTCAGAAAGTTCGTTTGGCATTTACCAAATTACGTCATCTATAGTGAAGGCGGGATATCCGTCTATCAATTCAAGGACGAGTATACTGTTCAGTAGTTCGTTCTGTTCTAATGTACAGTTGCAAAACGTGACCATTAAGAGTAGAAGATACTATTAAACTACTAGAATTTGATCACAGATGTCTTAGAAATATTGCCTGCATCTGCTGTGATCACCAGCCAATCAATAGTGAGGTTAGACACACAGTATTAAGGAATGATGGTAAATCAGTTGATGCGGTGGTGAATCGTCATCTACTGAGATGGTTGGACTATGTGTAACGTATGCCCGCCTCAACACCGATTACCAAGACGCACAATGCTCACTAGTGTTGAGGATGTTTGGAAGAAAGTTGTTGGTGGCCAAACCACAACGTGGCATCAGTGCTTGAAATCACTATCTTGTGGTTTGAGCCATGTTGGTAAATGCAGATTAGTTGGTTGGGGTCTGCAACACCATCGTAGCGAATGATTGTAGACTGTGTGTGACATGGATCAGAATCGATCACAATGGCATCGGTGTATACACTCTCTGTCTTCTCATAAACTGTGAGATCAAAATTACTTTATACGATTCTGTCTACCAACTAATTCCTTCTTCCTGTATTATATCCCTTTACACAATCTTTCTTTTATATGTTACCGCCATTGAAGTAACTGGTTCTATGAATTTGGTGTTCATGTTGTTGTGCTAATCAGATGTGGAAACTTGGACCGGTGCATATATGTGGCTGGTCCTACGTCGTGACTGACTGACTGACTAAAGACTGTCACTGACTCTGTCGGTTAGGTTATATGAAGTAGGCTCTGATGATGTTTCCCATAACAATAATAAAAGTTCCTTAATTAAGCTATGTTTAAACTTCAGTCATGACTGATAGATCCATCTTTGTATTGAGAACATCAATCAAAGTAGTCTAATACTTAAGTAAATACTTAAAAGCGTCTAATACATTCTCCCTTTTATTTCAGAAACTAAATTAACTTATTAGTAGTCAACCTCTTTTGACTGGTTCCTTAAGTTTATAGAAACAAAATTAAAGAAGGACTTTATTAAATAAATAATTATATGTGTAGTTGTTTCTATGACAATTGGTCAATGATATTTGATAACTAGTTCTAAATAGCCCCCAAATGCCCTGGTATGGCCGAGAGTGGGGGGAGTCTGCTCCTCCTCTCGAAATGCTCTCACATGGCCACGCGTATACAGCCCCTGCCAGGAAAGTCCTACTCACTGCCTTCTCGCACCACGGGTGTTGTTTACGAAAATGAGAGGACGAAAAGCGAATGTCCGGCGCTATAACCGGATCCCAAATCAATGGTGCACATGCGCTAGCTCCAGTATCCTGCGGGAACAAATGGCGTATGAACCAATCGTTGGTCACCGGCTGGCTATCATGGGACTGCATCTCCTTACGATGCTCCATTGGCTTGTGGATCAGATCTTCAGGTCAAAGGCTCGGGGTGTGGCCCCTAAGAAAACCACCTGCTTCGGTTTGGGCACCCGGGCAGTATCACAGCCCTCACACATATCAAATGAGATCTGTGTGGCGCATATGTATTTGGTGCCTTCTTGTACCGATATCTATGTGTTAAAATAATAATAAATATAATAGCAAGAATCCCAGATCAGTAGTTTCCTACTGACTCCTTCCGGTTACTACATTGCTGACTTTATTACAGCTGTTTATATGATTGTATTGTTTAATTGGCTTTTACTCAATTGTTCGTTAGTATAATTTAATGCAATAAATAGTTAACATACATGAATATACCTTTGTTCATAAATCTTGTTAATGGTTTTAAACAAGTAACTCGTATATTATAAGAGTTTAATAGTTGAGTTGATGAGTTAATTGAAACTAGACTACCATAGAAAACCTAGAAGCACTGGACGGCCGTTTCGTCCTAGTATGGGACTCTTCAGCACTCGTGACTATCTTCAAGAGATACTCCTGGAGTTCTAGTGAGAAGCCGTGACCAGTAGAGTTCAACCAGGTCTGTTGTGAGATAGCAGCTCACTAAAGACAATGATGATGGTGGCTCAACTTCGTGGATTGGTTAAAATTAGACCAGTCAGTGTCATTAA